AAGAGTTCAGCATTTTTAAGAGAAAATACAAAAGATACTAAGTGTGAGAAAAGTGGATAGTAGAAAGAGTTTTCTTCTTCTCACCTAGTCCTGTACCTGCTCCTCTTGAAGATTACCCATTTCAAAAAGTTTTAAGTCTCTCTTAGATTTACATCACTTTTCATTATTTGTTTAAGGATGTTCCTTCAGAGAACCATGCTTGTAGTTTGTACTCAGTTCATTATGAGTTAAATCTTTTGTAGTTGAGAAATGTGAAGTTAATATTAAGTTGTTTTTATGTTATATGATGCATGGTTAAGTGACTTGTTTTTATTATATGTTAACCTGTTATAAGTCTATTTTTTTGAATGATCAACTTAGGAGTAGATAACAACTTTTTGTTGTGATAGATCAAACAACAAGTGGTTTTCTTAATAAAAATGGTTGAATGAGTAAGATAGAGATATTCACTCACCTAGCTTTCTTAGAGATAAGGAGCTGCAACTATTGAGGATTTCAGAATACAAACAGACGTGTGTTAGATTTATAAGTGATGCTTAAAGATTTGTTCCCTTGCCCTTTATATGCATGCTTTGATGTTGTAGAAATACACCACAAGATCACTCTGACCTCACATGTCACGACACTGCACATCATCACACATATTTACCTCTATAATATTAATGGATCATGGCTTAACTCATTTACTCTTGGTATATTTCCACTCTTTCTCTTTACACTATTGTAGATCTGATTTAAGTGAAACACTGAACATAACACACCACATATTATTTCTCTCTTATCTCATGCTTAAACCTCAAATATAGTCAATTGCAAATCAACCTAAGTAACTATATCACTCCCTGTGGGTTCGACACTCTTATCTTAATCACTTACTGCAATGAAACAAACATGTATACTTGCATGTGACACTCATTTTGATAACCAACAAGTTTTTGGCGCCCTTGCCGGGAAGTGTTTTTGTTACATTTCTGATTTTGTATTATTCACTATTATTTATTTGTTTTTAAGCATTTGAGCTTTTAACGTTTGTTGTAATATGATGTCAAGACAGGTTTTTAGCTATTACATGCACATGTCATTATGCCCGGATTACAATGGATATCCTGAACCAGAAAGAACTCTTAGGGCGTTAAGAAGACAACAACTTACATATAATTTTTTAAGTGTGGTTTATATTTTTTTTCTAATGAAAATATGATAAGTGTATAATTTTCTCCTACAAATATATAATTTTCTTCTATTTTTACTTCTTAAAAAATATTTAAATATATTTATTATATTTTTATTAGAGAAAAATATGAATTATATTTTGAAATTATATATTCTCCTAAAAAAATATATCAAAAGCTGTCATATTGCATTTCTCACGTGTTTTTAATTAAATATGAAAAAAATATATTAATTTTCCCCCTCATAGCATGGTAAGTTGATTTACATTTTACAATTCAGTATAAAAAATGAATTCAACGGAGCATTTAAAATTCGTATAAAAATGTACTAATGCTTGAATAGTTTATTTAAATAAAAGTAGTTTTATCTATTTATTTATTTATTTATTTTTATTTTGACAAAAAATATAGTCTTACTTTTTCTTGGTTTAAATATATATAAAATATAATTAACCTAATTAAATCCTTAAAATGATTAATAGAATTTTTTAAATAAAGATTAAAAAATGACTTATATGACAAAAAATGAATAATTTATTTTTAATTTAACCATGGAATCAATAATATTCTAGTTTATTAAAAAATTTAGAAAAAGGATAACACGTTAACAGTATAAATTTTTTTATACGATCAGTTAATGACAATTATGTAAAATTTAAATTATTTATATAATTTAATATTTTAAAATATTCTAATTAAATGAATATACAATACTTTCTTACAATGATAGTGCACTACCACAAATAAATTTAAATAAATAACTATTTTTGACCTCTTTCTCAAACAAAATTTAAACTTTATCATTAATATTTTAAGACAAAAATTCATTAAACAGTTTAAATAAATTACATGGAAATGTACATAAATATGTTAGTATACATGTTATATACATTTTCCACTTTCCCAACTAGACTAGAGATAAACATAACAAAAATGTATATTTCTAGAATAATATCTTCATATTTGGATATATTTTGTAAACATTGTAAATAGACACAAAATGAAAATATATTAAGATTAAGTGTATGCACAAATTAACAAAAAAAAAAAAGAAGCTAAAAAGTGCCAATATTTAATTCATAATGCATCCTCTATATAACACAACTAATTATTTTACCAATACCATCATCAAATAAATCTCAAAACATAAAAGTTTCCAAGTTTACTACAATTGAGTTAAGGTTCTTGTTGCATCCATGGCAGAATCTAATTCACCACCACAAATTATTTCATCACAGTTTTTAACTATTTTATCACAGTTTTTAACAACCGCTCGTCTGCCATTTGTTGCGATTGGTTTTTTAGTTAAGATTCGCCACTAATAGTTTTTATTCTAAGGAAAGGAACTTAATAGAAAATTCTAATGCACAGACAGAAATTCTAGGTTTCGGACTCAATTGGACGAAAGGAAGGTATTAGACACATTTCATCCATCTTGTTAACAAGGATATTAAGCTCTAGATTTAGGTTTGGGATAAAAAGTGTTTTAAGTTTTAATTAGCAAGACTCGTCACGATTTTAAATCGCGTGTCTACGTATTCTCTTATGAGGAATTCAAGTCTCAATTCGTAGTTCGTATGGGTTGGTGTCTTTTAGGGATTTGAAAACATATTTTGGATCATTTCGCACTCGATCGGGAGTAGTGATTGCGGAGATTTTGACTAAATACGCAGTAAGCCAAAATTAGTTTGAAACCCATTTACAAAAAAAAACTATTGATTAGCTTAGTTTGTTCGCAAAATAGTTTAATGTTTGGTATGTGTTTTTTACTATATTAATTGCGAAAGTCTTAATTAATGCATGATAAAAAAGATTTAATGCAATATATGAGAAAATAATATATGCAACTTTTTCATGAAAATAATTTATTTTATCATATAGTAATACTTACATATAATAAATAATAATTAATATTTAAAATATGGTAATAAAAATTAATAATAAAAATTATAATAATTTATTTATTAATATCCCTCAGATCCATCGTATTTGATGGAGACTATTTAGTTCATGTGTGTTCGTGTGTTAGAGTATAAATTTACAATCTTCTATTTATTATGCGAGAAAAGAGAAAAGAAAGGAGAAATGTTGTTTTAGTTTTTTGAAAGTTGAGTCGCCAAGATGTGAGAACCTTGTGCCTACGTATTCCTTAAGTGTTATGGAAAAGTCAGAGCTTACGTAGTTCTCAGTTAACTAAAAAATTTGTTGATTTATTTATGAAAATTGGAGCTTAATCGTACAAGGACGATAAGACTCACTATGTGATCACATGCGACTGAAAATTTAAAAAAAAAAACTTGCACGTGAGAAAAGTTTGATGAGTTTGTGTTGATTTTATCTTTTGTGAAAGAAGTCATGAAAAGTAGTTGATTAATTTGAAAAGACTTGGTGTTAGGCTAAGGTTTTATTGTTTTTGAGTTTTTATTGTGAAAGACTTGATTTATTATGAAAGTGGTGATAAAAAATTTATTAAGTGAATGAAAGTGTTGATGAAGTTATCTACTTAATTAATTAAAAAATATTTAACATTAAAATTTAAGTAGCAAAATTAATTAATTAAATTAATTAATTAATTAAGATAGTTATATTTTAATTAGTGAAATTAATTAACTTAAACAATTTTTAATTAAGTGAAAAAAAGTTAGAAGTGTTCTTAAGTAAAAAAGAGTGTTTAAGTTAGAAAAAAAAAAGATTTAGTCATGAGAAAAACGTTTGGGCTAAGGGCTGAAGGCACAATAAGCACTAGATGAAGCGCTCGGGGGTAAGATTTAGGAGCAAAAAAAATAGAAATGACAACAACAAAAACAAGTTTAAAATCAAATACGAACAAGAGAACTCAGGTAAAGCTTCTTCACTTTGTTTCTTCTATCTCTATAGATCTGTTTAATTCTTCTTCTGAGTTTGTTTTATTTTTGTTGCGTTGCTTTGTGGTTATGATTTGCGAGCGGTTTGTGCGGGAGGGTAAGGTATGATCAAGGTTGTTGAGGTTATGTTGCATTTGAAGGTTTGTGGTAAATGAGGCTTGGTTGAGTTATTGTGTGTGGTTGTTGTGTGTATGAAGATGAATCTGTGAGGTTTGAGTATGGTGTGTAGAAGATTTCGAGCAGAGTTTTGTTGCAAATGATTGTTGGTATTTGGAGGGTGAGGTGACTGTTTTTTTGCATGGTTTTAGAAGAGGCTTAGGAGTAGTGTATTGAGAGGATTTTGACAGATTTTTTGAGTGATCTTGTTGGTTGGAAGGAAGTTTCAGCTGAGGTTTGATATCTAATTGTTGGCTTGATTGACAAGAGATTTATGTGGTTTTTGTGTGGATTTCAGAAAAAAAAGTGATAATGAATGCATGGTTAATGGATATTGTATAACAACAAGATAAATTCAAACTAGAGATAAAAATACAAATCTAGCTAACAATCAACTTAATTATTAGAAGAAAGTAAATTCAATTAATAACAAGTGTAATTATTGCTAAAAATGCAGTTTCATCTAATTGCTCAAATAATAAAGATAATAATAATGTAAAGTTTAATGAGAAAAATGCGAGAGCAACTTCGATGTAAGAACTTAAATTCTATTCAGAAAATACGATATGTGAAGGAATGATACATATATGATTGACAGGTAAGTCGGATTTTATTCTTGATGCAAACGATGCAGATGAATCAAATAAAAAGTCAGGGCAAAATTTAGAGTGTGACACAAACAAATCCTCTATATTTATTCTCATACAATTTATACTCACTATCTCATTTTATTAAATGACCTAACACTGGTTCTCTTTATTATCTAAAATTTGAACTAAAAATGACATCAATGATTCTTCACTCTTATTCAAATCTCTCCATCGTAAATATCCTTAAATATTTGCGCCATCTTTTGTTCACCAAGAAGTGCTTTTACATGTTTCTTAAACACGCCCATGTTCATACCATCCTTCTGAAAAAACATGTCATAGAAAATTGCAACGTTAAATAAGCATCATAATAATAAGATCATGTTAGGTGCTAACAATTCTTTTTTAAAAGCTCCAAAGTGTATTTATGAGGATATTATCAAGATCCAGCGAAACTTTTTGTGGGGTGGTGGAGAAGGCAAGAGAAAGATTTGTTCGGTTAGTTGGAAGAAGATTTGTCTTTCGGTTGAGGAAGGTAGTCTTGGTGTCAAGAACATTGAGATTGTTAACCTTTCTTTGATTAGTAAGTGTGGGTGGAGATTTTTGAAGGAGAGGGATACAATGTGGGTAAAACTCCTTCGTTTAAGGTATGGGGGAATGTCGGCTCTACTGGAGAATGTCTCTAATCGTTTATTGTCAAAGTCCTATCTGTGGTGGAGGGATGTGAGGGCAGTTTGTGGTCTTGTTATCAACGACCATCCTCGGTTTTCTAATAACATTTCGTGTAGATTGGGGGATGGAGAAGTGTTTTTCTTTTGAGATGATGTTTGGTTATGTCCTACTCCTTTGAAGGTGCTTTTTCTCTTTTGTATACTGCTTGTTCCCATTTCTCTTATCCTTCATATTCTGTAGCAAATATGAGTTTTTAGGTGGATAGTAGTTGGTTTTGGGACCTTCGGATTGATGAGAGGGTTTTGGTGGGTGATATAGAAATGAAGTGGAATGCTTTATCCTCCTCTATTGTTGGATGTTAGACCGTTTGTGGAGGTTGTTTACAAAGTTGTTTGGTTGAGGAATGTGGAGGGTTTTGAATAATCCGACGGTGGGGTTGTTGGATGATAGGAAATTATTCAAAATGTAGAGATTATGGAAATTGTTTGTTCCTTGTAAGTTTAGTTATTTGGTTGGAGGTTGTTGTCTAATGCTTTACCGATTAGACTTGAATTGAGCCGTAGAGGTATTCAATTACCTTTAAGTGACACTTCTTGTCTGCTTTATGGGTTGGAGGTGGAATCCTTGGATCACCTTTATGTCGAGTGCATTAAGGTGCCTCGTTTATGGAAGGATGTTTTCCTTTGGTTGGGTGTGGATTTTGTTTCAGATTTTAATTCTTTGGAGGATGTGTTGACTTCTTTGTCTGCTCTCATTTTCCTGTCTTTTCTAATTTTTGTTTAGTTGTTGGTTGGTTGGTATGCGGATGCGGGGCTATGAAGAAATAAAGTTGTTTTTTATAGTTGGGTGTGGAATGGTGGTAAGACTTTGAACTTTATTAAGAGGTTGGGGTGATATTGACTTTCTATATTGTACAAAGGTTGTGATGACTTTGTTTTGGACGTTTGGTTGGTTAACTCCGACTTGTATGTTGGTGTATAGTTTTTTGGTTTTTGGGTTGGTATTTTTGACCCCTTCCTTTTGTATTGAGTTAGCACCCCTTGTGCTTTTAATGCAAGTGATTATCAAAAAAAATTTATACATAGTTATGCTCTAGCTTTAAACATAACCCTGCTAGTGAATAGTAAAATTGATCCTCTTAAATTAATCAGTCACAATGACGGATGCCCAAATTAAATAAAAAAAAAATGATTCATTAAACTCAACTTGCCTTATAGATATCATATATATCTTGAAGTGGAGAAATAAATTCAATAGGTACTCGTTTCTTCATCTCTAAATAAAACCTAGGAACCATAGTCATTTCCACCGGTGTCATTTCCCATTTCACTGCAAGTAACTTTTACAAACAGTTCATATGCAAGATTTTATATATAGTATACATAAAGTTTCAGAAATGAGATTATGAGATATAAGAAATGTTAGAATTATTACCATCTTTAATAACAGAAGTTTTGCAAGTGATGACACAAACCGGAAGTACACGTTTGTTCATATCATTACCCCAAACCACATACCAGTGAGGGTTTTTAGGATCATCACAACCAGTATCATAGTCGTTATTGGAAAGATGAGTTTGATGAGTCTCAAGATCTACTCTTTCCATCCTTCCCAACACAATTCGACAAAGAACAAGATATTTCTCTTCATCTTTCTCCACCTGATGTTGCATACCACTTCAACATAAACATATTAATTACGGTGTTACATTTTGATATCAGAGTATTTTATATAAAAATGATTACAAGTTAAGGATTTAATTACCTATGTTGAGGTGACTCTAAGTTGGCCAGAAAAATACCAGCTCCAATTGATGGGCGCACTTGGGGATAATTTCTGATTAACTTAAAGCCATTCCTGAAAATAGATACAACTTTCTCTGCGGGAGCTGCATACCAACTATAAACAACATTTGCGTTACCTCTTGCGGCTTCTGTAATCTCAACTTGCTTCTCGAAAACACTCCAACGAGCCCTAGCAATGGGGCTAGAGTAATGTAAATCATGAATGCTTATGATACATGCATTAGGATCAATGTGGCCAACATTGTTCATGAACAAACTCTTTATGTATAAGTATGTCTTTTCAGTCTTGCTCAGTAGTCTCGTGTTTGGAAATTTTGATTCATGTTTGACTCCAATGATAACAACGTCGTCGTCGTCATCATCGTTGTCAGAATGGAGTTTTTTCTTGGCGTTTCTATCAGCATCATTAGTTTGAGCTACTTTTGAGAAATCACAATCGATAAATTTTCCAGGAAAGAATGGTTTACAATTTTCATCAACCCATGCAATGGATCTATGGTTTTTTGTTTGAATATGGACTTGTAGCATGCGTACAAAATCGAAGGCGTAGTTTAATCCTTCGATCTTTAAGGGTACAATTGTTTTTCCACTTGCGAATCCGTAGCGTAAAGACTCGAGTACTTCGCCTTTGAAGTCATTCCAGAGCCTGTTTTTGAAGAACATGATTCTCACTGGCACTTCACTGCACGCGAAGTTTCTACCGTTGAGGAGGAGGAACTCATCGGTGCAAGCCTGGTTTTGTTGTGCATCTTGATTTAAATCTATGAGTGGATTCAATGGTAACGTTGTTGTTGTTGGTGGTGGTGGTGGTGGATGTGGCTGGTTATCTTGGTGGAGTTGGTTCAAATCTATTGATATAGGTGATGATGTTGATGATGAATGTGGAGGTGTTGGTGGCGGACGAGCGTTTGTTGAAAACTGTGATGAAGCCATTTGTGGTGGAGAATTAATTTCTGCCATGGATGCAGCAAGAATCTTAACTCAATTGTACTAAACTTGATAACTTTTGTTGAATTTATTTGATGATGGTATTGGTAAGATAGTAGTTAGTTGTGTTATATAGAGGATGAGATATAAATTAAATATTGGTTAAATTAGAAATAAATTATTCATTTTTTAATGTATAATTATTTTAATCTTTATTAAAGAAAATTATATTAATCATTTATCATTGCTAGATTTGTAAAAAGTTATAAATGAAAGATGGTCCAAATCCTAAGAACTTAATTACGTTTGTTATATTTTATATTTATATTTAAACCAAGAAAAAGTAAGACTATTTTTTGGTCAAAATAAAAATAAATAAAAAGGTTAAACTACTTTTATTTAAATAAACTATTCAAGTATTAGTACATTTTTATATGAATTTTAAATGCTCCGTTGAATTCACTTTTAATACTGAATTGTAAAATATAAAACAACTTACCATTCTAATGGGGAAGAATCAATTTTTTTCATATGTAGTTAAAAACACGTGAGAAATGCAATATGACAGCTTGTGATATATTTTAATAATAAAACAATTTTTTATAACAGAAAAATAGGAATAGTTTTGTTCAAATAAGATTTTTTTATAACAAAAGAAATAGGAACATTTTTTATTCCTCATACCTTGAATTAAATTGAAAATTCCATTGTTTTATAGATAGCATTTCATTCAAAGAAAAAATTCGACTTTTTTTAATGTGAATAATAATTCATAGCTTTTAAATTATAGGAATTTTTAGGACAAAATAAATAGAAATATTAAAAGCAAAAAAGCAAAACTCAACAACTTTTTATGTAAAATATTCATAACTACTATATAAAATTGATAAATATATTTAATTACTTATACATTTTAACTATAAGTTATTTTTCTTAAAATATCAAATTAAAGTTATTACAAAAATAAAAATAATTATTTTTTCATTTAATTAAAATGTAATATGAAAGTTTATGTTAAAATTTGAATAAATATAGAATTATTTTATAAAAGAATAAATATATATATATATATATATATATATATATATATATATATATATATATATATATATATATATATATATATATATATATATATATATATATATAAGAATTTTTTATGGAAAAATAAATAGGAACATATTAACTTATGATACATCGAATAAAAAGTATGAAATGCAACCACTATTATATACATTGTATTTCATTCAAAGCAAAATTTAACGTTTTTTTAAAGAATGTTGAATTTGTTAACTTATGATACATCGAATACAAAGTATGAACGTATTAACTTATGATATATCGAATAAAAAGTATGAAATGCAATCACCATTCTAAATGAACCAAAGACGAGTATGAATAATCAAGCTCGTCTGTTGAGAAATGGTAATGTATTGATCGATAGGGGTGGGAATGGACTCGGTCCAGTTAGGTTTTGCCAAACTTATGTCTATCATGCTAAAAAATTCAAAGTCTAAATTTGGCTTGTAGTTTGTCATATACTTATTGTTAGGCCTGAGTCTGGCATTTTCACATGCCTAATTGGCCTATTAGTCTACTTAAGAGCCTGTTTTATTTGAACACGTGTAAATAAACAATTCAACTGATGTTTAAATAGACTAACAATTTAAAAGACCAATCAGACTAAATATTTGTTTGTATCGACTTATCCGAACTTACTTATTAACATAATCTTTTTTAGACTTTTTTTAGAGAACTTATGAAAATAACTTATAACATTGTTCATAAGGTTCTTTCAACTTATTTTCATAAGTTCTTCAGCATATCTAAGTTTTTTGCTAGTATTTTAAATCAAAGTATAAAATAAAATATTATAATAATAATAAAGTTATTCATATTTATTTAAATAGGTTTGTGTGATAGCTTTAAAAGGTTTTCGTGACATACTGTCTAGTCTTTTTTAACTAAATATGCTTATAAAACCTATGTTTTTTCTATTTAAAAAATATGACTTGGCTTGAGCCTGTGTGGGCTCGACAGTATGTCTATGTTAGTTAGTCTGGCTTATTCTCACCCTTATCGAACACGAATGCGAACAAATACACATACCAACAACTCCCGGTGATTTATAAATCATAATAAGTTTAATATATTTTTTAGTTTAACCAATCCAGACTGCAACAAGTTAGAACTGTCATGCCCGAGAAGAGACTAAGTTCCTCGGGCGAGAGTTTAATTAGCCTAGAGAATCTAAGTCTTTCAGACATAATTGTATATATCCCGATTGATGAGACCTTAAGTCCCTCAAGCGAGGTATTTTACCCACTTGGGTGGAAATTCTATTAAACTCTCAAGCAAGACTTGTTATCAAGTCTCTCAAGCTGAATATTTATCGTGTTTCTTAGGCGTGATCCTAGAGTCGTGTCCCGTCCTATGAGACACTAAGTCTCTTGGGGAGGAGCCATATGGCCTATCTGATTTCCCTATGGGACGACAATGATCTTTGCTATAAAGTCCGGTAAAAGAGATGTTGCCCCAATAGGGTGGCAAAAATCTTCATTATAAAGATCAAGAAGGAAAATGTTTCCCTAAGGGGCAAGGATCTTTGCTATGAAGTCCAACAAAGGAAATATTTTCCTGAGGGGCAGCAAGGATCTTCGCTATGAAGCCCATAAAGGGAAAAGTTTCCTTGAGGGGTGGCAAGGATCTTTACAATAAAGTCTAACAAGGGAACTTTTCCTCGAGGGACGGAAACTATCTTTGCTATGAAGTCCAGCTAGGGAAATGTTATCCCGAGGGGCGCCAAGGATCTTTAATATGAAGTACAACAAGGGAAATTTTACCCTGAGAGGGGGCAAGGATCTTCGCTATGAAGTTCAACATACCACATTTTAAGGAAAAAACATCCTTACTGGAAACGAACTCTCGAACATGCACATCTTCCCTCACTTCGTAGATCAGGTTTGCTTCATATTTCAAGCATATCTCATTCTCCTTTTCATTAAAGTGAGACTGTCACCATTAGGGTGTGTCAATCTCTTTAGGTAGCATGTCGTTTTTCCCATATGTCGTATCTCAATTTTGTCCGAATTTTTTTAATTTGTAATTTTATTTTATTTAGTAAGTTTTTTCTTTTATTGCTAAAAATAATAATAATAAATAATTATTTTAGTAGTGTTTTGTTTAATAATTTATTTAATTTCCTTAAAATATAAATAATTAAAATGGTTGTATTAGTTTTTCATATTTTATTTCTTTTACAAAAATAACAAATAATAAAAAATAGTTTGATTTGACTTATTTTATTTTTTATTTTTTAATCATGAAAATACAAAAAATAATTGATTTGAGTTGTTTTTATTTTGATTTTTGTAATCATAAAAATACAAAAAAAATATTTTGATTTGATTTGTTTTTATTTTTATTTTTTAAATCACAAAAAAATATGTTATTATTTTTTTTTATTACTATCTTAAAACTTAAGAAAATTCATGAAACATTTGGTGTGACCCTGTTACCTTAAAATTTCTTTAAGGTATTTATGCATTGTTAGTAGGGCAACCCTGTGAACTGAAAGGAAAGTGTCTTCCAGAAGTAGGGATTTTACGAAGATTAGAGTCAAGAAAATGATAGATGGAAAGTTCTTATAAAGATTTAAAGAGAGATCGACGAACAAAAGAGCAAGTAGTTCACAGAGATAATAACAAGTAAATCGATTTTAGTTTCGTCGACAAGAATGTAATCCAAGACTTAGAAAATTTGGGTTATTTATATACGGCATTGGTTGATGTCAAAGCAAACTTATAGACGGGATAGGTTTTGAAATTTGAATATGACAACGATTGCAAGAAGTTTCCTGATCAAGGCGCCAACTACGTGGCTAAATCTGAGGAAGCCATTTTATTAAGCCACATATGTGTCAGATTACTATTACGTTGAAGTGCATGTTTAGTTATTATGTAACTACTATAAATAAGAGGGTCTAATATAGGATTCAGTGTGTTCATTTTGTACTAAAATCACTTGTAAAACTCCATATTTCCAAGCGTAAGTAAACAAGAGTTCAAGAGTGTTAATGTACGTGAATCACCATATTTATTTCAATGCATACTCCTTTCTTTTCAGTTGTGCCCTTTAAATCTTTTGCTTGCATCTTATTTACTTTTGAACAATTTTTTTATATTGTCATTTACGTTATTGAATCTCATCCCATTATGATACTGGAATTCACTGAGAGTTCACTCGACATTTATTTCATTTAGGACAAGTCATAGTCTTCTGTCGGTCACGAGTCACCTTCATTCGGTCAATTCATAGTATATTTATGGAAAAATTGTACTTGTTTCCTTATTTTCCTAGTCTTCTATCGGTCACGAGTCACCTTCAGTCGGTAAATTCATAGCATATTTGTGGAAAACTTTTACTTGTTCCCTTATTTAGAGAAAAACCGTTTCTCACAAAGTAAGGCGTTACGTCGATAGAACAAGCCCCATTTCATTCTATTAGCACACGCCTTAGGATTAACTAGTCGATCCTATGAGTAACCCTTAGTTTTAGGCTTTGGGAGGACGTTGTTTACCATTTTCCATAGTAAACAAATTGGCAAGCCCAGTGGGACCAGTGCTAGTGGAATCTATCTAAAATCTCTTGAGTGTTTGTAAGTGTATGAGACTTAGAAGTGGAAATTTAACCAAAGAGTATATTAAGCCACAAGTTAAGCAACGTACACCAAGGAT